TTATACGGACGTACAAACCTGCGTTGTTTGAAGTTAGGGAGAGAAAAGGCCTCATCTAGTAAGTCGTGCATCCTATGAAGAGCATCATACAGTTTCTCTGCATCTGGCAGAGTCTTCGGTGTAGTTATGCCCGGCTGCTAACAATACACAGCATATATATATATATATATATACAACATCATACAACCATTTTGGGCAACATATAACGTTGCGACCGCTCATTTTATATGTTTACATTTTTATTTTCATTTTTGTTTTATTTATATTTATCATATTTTATATATTAACAATGTGACTTGAAAGAGCTATTGTTGAAAGGGGGAAATTGAGTTTTACTAGAATGCGGTGATGTTATGCCCCGTTAATAAGTAAGTCGACGAGGATTGCTTACTGCAGTCAGAGGCGGGGAAACAGAGAGTGTGTCTGGTCTGTGATGCCTCCGATGATGAGTATGTCGTCTGTGCTTCTTCTTCTTGTTTTCTGTTGGAGGCCCTACACTGGACTGGGAGCCATCCAACAGTACCGGCTGCCGATGCGACAGCTGCTCCTTTCGTTTAATTTTCTCCTTCTGTTGTTGTTTATTCCTCCACTTTTCGAGCTCAACCTTTTCCTGCAGAAATCTTTCCATCTGGAAAAATTAAAGATAGTCTGAGAATATTTCTTCCATGGTGTGTGCCAAAAAGAGACTTTGTGGATCAACGTAGAAATGTGTTATTTGGACAGCAGTCGCCGGAAAAGAATTTAAGTTTATATGCACCGGGCATATTCATAGTACACTGCGGGTGTTGAATGAATTCTCAACGAATCTATGTTTTGTGCAAGTGCTGCCTTTGTTGACGCCATCGTGTTAACATTTGTCGTGATTGCGGAATATATTCGCAGTAGAATACGTGTGGATGTATTATTTCGGGTTTATTGCATTAACAAATGCATAGTAGTAACGATACTCACGTCCTCTTTATATCTCAGGTCATTCTCTAGTCTTGTGCTCGTGAGTGGGATAGCGATCGGGGGTGGGAACTCCAGCAGCAATGGCGTCGTGCGCACTAGCTCAGTCTTTGGTAGCTTCGGCCGGTTTTCCTGTGCTGTCCTATGCTCACGGTCTACTCCCAATCTACTGTCTTCGCGTATATGCAAATCTGTAAACGTTTGAGAAAATGTAGACAATGAATTCAAATTTTAGGCAGTCATCGCGAAAACCTTTTTTTTGTAGTATGGTGCCTCTTTCAATCTGTCTTTCAATCTTCAATGTTTGCCTGATAATGTCTTGACGTTCACACACAACACGCACTCTCTCTCTCTCTCTCTCTCTCTCTCTCTCTCTCTCTCTCTCTCTCTCTCTCT